CCTTCCCTTGTTCTGTATTTCAAACTTACATGACATTTAGAGCTAATCTCCATAATGGCACTTCCTAGGTTTTGTTATAAATCACCCGCTCAGTTTTTATTTGGGGAGGGCAGGTGCAGAGAGGTGACTTAGTTACAGTCTTCACTTCATGGCACACTGTCGTCTTTGGTTCCTTCGGTTTGTTCAGGGTTCCTCCTTTGTTTTGTTTATTTACTACTTTTTTATTATTAAAAAACTCTGTATTGTTTGTGTGCATGTATTTGTAATTTACACAAATGCCGTTGTGCCTCAATCTTATGTTTTTCACTTTTTCCAATCAGAATGAATTTTAAAGTCTGGTCATTTTTCCCTGTGAACTCTTATCCTTTCTATTTTTATTTTCCTTTTGTCCTGTTTTCTTCTTTCATCCACCTTTACTTTGTCTTCTGTGTGAATATGTATGTGTGTATGTATGTTTATGAGCCATATTCTTTTTGGTATAAGATGAGAAATACACACACAAATACATACTGATACGTACATAAATGTTTATATCAGATCTTACACTGGTAGGAAGAAGGCGTTAGGATCCCAAGAATTCCTTTGATGGGGCTTAAAGCCAAATATTTCTTTTATCACTTTTATACAAACATATTTTATTTTTTCTCCTATTTAGAAGCTGGAAAACATGCATTATGTCTTTGCGTGTGTGTGTGTGTTTTATCTTTTTAAGACTAAAATCTCATCATATTATTGAAAGAATGAGTCAAGTCCTTTTGTAATACCTGTCCTTCTATTGGACATAATAGAAGCAAAAACTGATAACAACATGCTGGTTATTTTGAACACAGAAATGATCTTAGTTCTTCCCTTCTTGGTCAAACACTGTCTTTCTCTTTTCCCAATAGAAAGTCATTGGCCTTATCCCTAATCTCAAATCCTTATTGTCTATTTCTGTAAGTGTCATGTTCCAGCTGTCAAAGTCCCCAGTGACTGTCTTTGGGTACAAGTGTCTCGCTTCCATCCTAATCCATATTATTTATCCCATTCTTCCGATTGCAGCCAGGCCTCCTTTAGCTGCACAGCAGGCTTCCTGTCCTACTCCTAATAGTGGGCCCAGAGTATCCTGTGTCACTGCTCCCTTAGGTTTCCACTTACCTGCCCTTACCTCCCTGTGGGAGTAGAGGTTGTGGTAACAAAAGAGAGAGGGAGTGACCAGCCATGCATCCCTTGTCACAGTTTTGATTGCCAAGGCACAGAGAGGCACAGAAGAAGACAGAAAAATAGAGGCAGAATGAAGATGAATAGACAGGGAGATGCTATTCACTTCATCAGAAATATCCTTCTATTTCCCTTATGATACAAATATTCCTGCCTCAGTGGTTCCCTCAAGACAGGGTTATTGAGGACGTTAAAGTCATAAAGCAAAACATTAAAAGGAAAACAAAATTAGGAGGACAGTTCAGTCCTCTCCTTTTAGAGATGATCAAACAGCTCCAGAGAGGTTGTGACTTAAAATGTCATACTCCTACCTCCTAGGTAGTGGCCAGCTGGGGTTAGCATCCTCCCATTCACTCAGGCTGCCAGCCAGGGTTATTGAGCACTTGCTTTAGATTGTCTGCATTCCTGATATCATTACTATGCATAAATTCAAAGTAGGATGCTCATTATTGTGGGATATACAGAGGCATTATGACATGGACTCTGTTCCAAAAGAACTTGGAAAATTTAGATGGAAATAATAAAATAATATTCTAAAGCAACCTCTGGTAAGCCCAAAGAGAGGTAAAAATAATAATGCCAGGGAAATTCAAAGAAAAGTGTGACTAATGTGGGCCGGGGAGGTAAGGAAAGGCTCTGCTGAAGAGGTGAGTCTTGAACCTCTCTTGGGCAGAAAGTGTGGGTGGATGCAGGAAATACATTTCCATGATTGTTGATGCTCTGTGCCACCCCGTAATACCCAGGTTCCATTCCTGACACACATAGGCCTGACAGTGGTAAGAGCGGCATTTTGGAAAAGGAGTGGGCTGAGAAATGAGCATGAAGTCTTGAGACATCAGCTCGGGTGTGTGTGGAGGTGGTGAAAGGCATGATTACCTGAAACAACCTTCATCTTTTGGGCCCAAATCAACCTCCACCAGAATGTTTTTGCACCAGTATGCTGCTTTGACAGATTCACCAGAGCTCTCACAGATTTGGTCCCCAGTCAGACGTATATCTTGGATTTCTAGTTCCTGAAGGAAATGTGAGTTTTCTGCTTGGCAGAAGCAATAGCACCATCTTGTGGAAATGAATGCTTTCGATCACAGCCTTTTTGTTCTGAAAACATCAGTCGTCTTCAAGAAAATCAGTTGTATGCATTCTTGCCTCTAAATCATTCTTGGAATACACAATTTGTGAGTAACAAATGGTCTCTCGTATCGTCTAAATCTTTGATGGCTGAGTTAGCAGCTTGTTTTTTTAATTTTTAGAATAATCCCACACACATATAGGATCCAGTATTCTCCTGTCTCAGACTTGTTTCTTTTAGGTGGTGTGTCCTCACATTTGGGTTTTAACCACGTCTGAAGGGATCTTGTAGTCTTTCAATTTAGCAGAGTAACTCTAAGTCCCCAATGAAAATAAAGGAAAATAAAGGAAGAAACACTGGCTGCCATGGCTCTTTTCTATCTCCTGCAGAGAAGTTGGGAAAAGGAGGTCCCTTAATCTTTAGGGAGCTAAAGCACCGCACTGGGGAGCTCAGAGAAGAATTCATCACTGCCAGGAACTTACAGAATCATTTCCTACAAATTTTATTGGGTCCGCTAAAAAACACTCTGTGGGAAAATGCTTCATTTAGAATCATAGATTCATTGAATCATTGAACAACTAATAAGACTTGTAAATGCTCTGCCCTCCAGTGGAGGGGAAAAAAGGCCCAGTCTTCTCAATCTTTCTTGCCCCTGGTTTGGTTTGCATCACGTGTGGAACCCATTTCCCTGGGAAGGTTTGGGACTTGAATAAGCTGCCCTCTGAATAGTCCCGGGCTTCATTAGAGTTCCAGGTTAGTATAAATTTTGCAATAGTCAAAAAATCTGTTTTAACTTTTTCAAAAATCATGTTTTGAAAAAGTGACACTTTAACGCGGTTCAGAATTTGAAAGTACAAAAGTGTAAATTTTTCCTTTCACACAAGTTCATGCCTCAGCTATCCACTTTGCTTTCCTGGACACTCCAGGATCACAAGTGATTTGTAAAATGCTTCCAAAAATATTCTGAGCTTATAGGAAATATATTACATCAGTGATAGCCCACAATATATTTTGAAACTTGCATTTTCTCCCTTAAAAATATAAATTGAAGGCTGTTTTATATTATCAGTACGTAAAGAACTTCCTCGTTTATTTTTCAACTGCACAATATTCTATTGAATGATATAGCATAACTTATTTAACCAGTCTCCTACTGAGGTAGTTTCCAATAGTTTGGCAGTACAGATAACGCTACAACGAATAACCTTTACAGCTGTTGCTTTGCACACCTGCCAGTCTCCCTGTAGGACATGTTCCTGGAAGTGGAATTGCTGGGTCGAGTGGTATGTGTGTTCATAATTGTGGAAGACACTGGCAAATCATTCTCCACGGAGGTCCTCTATACGAAGTAACAGCAATGTGTGACGCCCCCCCCCCCCCGCCCCCCGCTCTCATTAACTGTGTGTTTTTAGAAATTTTTAATCTTTGCCAATCTGATAGGTAAAATATGATATTTCAGTGTAGTACCGTTGCAGTTTTCACAGTTTTCTTGTATGAATTTGATCTTCTGAACTGAAATTTTTCAGGAGGCTGGGTCACCTAGAGAGTTCTCTTTCTCCAAAGCTACATTGGCAAATTTATTGATTTTTTTAAAATCTAGTTTTTTGAATAGGTAAAACCAGCTCAAATTTCTAGCAGCTTTCAAAGGTATTTGTTGACATTCCCTCTTCCCTGCTTGTCCCCAGTGGTGGATTTCCTGTGATGCTAGCAAAGCTTCGGAGCCCCTACCAAGCACCCCTTCCAGAGCCCTGAACTAAATTTGTAGTCATAAATTCACATTCTTTTTCTTAAAGAAACTGCCCCAAATTTTATAAGCTTCAGGCCTGGTTATGCTCTTGCTTGTCACCATCATGCCTGTTTCCAGTCTCTCTCTTTAGTTTCTTATGTATCCCTCCAGAATTATTTATGCACATGTGAGCACATACAGATATAGATTATCCACTGGTCTTCCTATCACTCTTGCTTTTCTCAATGTATCTTGGAGACATTTCTGTATAAGATATGGAGAACGTCCATATTGTTTTTTGTTGATAGTTGCATGGCATTCCGTTGCTTGGAGGTACTGCTCTTTACTTAATCAGCTCCCTATTGGCAGAACTTAGTGTGTATTTGTTTTGTTTCACTTTTGCCATTTTCTTAAGTCTCCAGGTTTCAGAGACTTAAATGGTAGCTAAAAATCTAGTGTGGCCACAGGTTTTAGAAGAGGTAAGAATTAAGGTAGGTGAACTTGGCAGGGGAAGTCCCAGCCTCCCTTTCTCCCCTCCCTCTTTAGGTATCTAGGACTCTAACTCTTATCGAAACAAAACAGGTCCCCTACTACCTGCTGCTTGCAACCTAGCATGGATGTACACATCTGTGTGGTAAGTTTGTCTATGATTGTGAAACAAAAGATTGCCATGCTGAAGAAATTCTGAGTATCTGAAGGCAGGAGGGAGAGATCATTGTAAGCCTAGGGTGCCTCTAAAATCATACTGCATGGGTGTTGGCTTCACAAAAGGGCCAATAACCCATGAGGTCATGTAACTCTATCAGTAGCATTGCTACAGCCCACAAAAGGATGCCCACTGCACACATACTAGCAATTTGTTCTTCGGTGTCTGATGGAGAAGGATCCAACAGCCCATTCATGGAGTGTGGGATGTCTTCTGCATGCCAGAGGATTCAAGATTCAATCATTTAGTATTTTGACTCTTTAACAACTTCAGGCATCACTTCCTTTCTGCTTTTCCAGGTCAGTGCAAACACCATAGGAATATCATTTTGGATAGCAGCTGGAAATCAGCCTTTCCATTCTCCTCACCCTCCTGAAGTATCAGCTGTCCAAACTCCTATGACAACCTACTTTCTGGGAGGAAAGGACCACATACCTGTCTAATTTGGTTCCCCCAGCTCTAAAGGTTTGCCCAGTTATACTTTTGTTCAGATGCTCTCCTTTGGCTCTTCCCTCATATCCTTCCTAGAACTGAACTGTAGTGGGCTTTAGTTAGAGACAGCACATTTCAAGTCCTCTGTCTCTTTTATGAGGGGTCAGGTAACTAATGCACAGAGAAAGTAGGAGAGGAGAAAAGAAAGAAGGTGACAGCAGAGAATTAATGAATCTCTATGCTGCAGAACTAAGAGTAACGTTTGGTACTTCTTTTCACCTTAAAAAGAGTTGACATGTATATTACCTTTTTTGAAGCTCACAATATCCCCTTGGAACAGCTAGGGTGAGTGGTGTCTTCTCACCATTTTATAGGTGGGGAAGCAAAGCAAGGATACGACTAATCATGGATATCTGAACTCAGATCTACAGGATTCCCCACTATCTAGATATTTGATGGTTCAGGGCTGACATCAACTGGGTCCCTCAGGAAGTGATCTGGTAAGCAGCAGCAGTTCAGAATATCTCTACTACAGCGTGGCCTAGGGGATTTGTCTTGAAGCTTTATTTGGATTGTATTTCACATAAAATTGGAAAAGATCTATTATGTGTATCAATGAGGGTGCTGCTGATGGAGATCTGGGGAGGAGGCTCAAGTCTCTTCACCTCTTAGTACTACCGCTTCTCTGGAGTTTTACTGTTGTCCTGAAAAGCCAAAGAACTGGAAACTCAGAGCCTTTGATTACTTGTGGCAGAGACTGCTGGATGTTTACCCACACTGTTTCCTCTTATTCCTGGGTACATATAGAGACCACATTTCCCAGACTTCCTTGCATTTTTGTATGACCACGTGACCAAGTTTTAGCCAGTGGGATGTGAGCAGAAGTGACAAGTCCACTTTTAGGCCAGGTCCACTAAGCCTCCATTCTTTTTCTCCTTCCAGTACACATGACAACCTTGGGGACCACGTGGAGAAGGTGACAGATCCACAAGGTATAAGGATCCTTTCTGACTCACCAATTGACGGCCAGCTGCTTGCTAGTCAGGAACGCCTGCTCTGAACAAGAAGAGAAATTTTTATTATGTTAAAGAAAATACCGGGGCCGGTTCCATGGCTGAGTGGTTAAGTTCGCGCGCTCGGCTGCAGCGGCCCAGGGTTTGGATCCTGGGCACGGACATGGCACCGCTCGTGAGGCCACGTGGAGGCGGTGTCCCACATCCCACAACTAGGAGGACCTGCAACTAAGATATACAACTGTGTACAGGGGAGATTTGGGGTGATAAAGCAGAAAAAAAAAAAAAAGGAAGATTGGCAACAGTTGTTAGCCCAGGTGCCAATCTTTAAAAAAAAAAAAGAAAATACCTTAGTACAATTTAAAACAGTCTAACAAAATCCGAAATATCAATCATTGTTTATTTTGTCCTGGGTTTAACTGTAGTGTGTGAGCATATGTGTGCTGACATGTATTTGAGAACCAGAGGATCAAGAAGAGATCAGAATAAAGTAACCTGAATGAACTGTTTCTTCTCCTTTTTTTAAGTTACAATCCTAACGCTTGTTTACTTTAAAATTTTCTAATAATGCAGTATTTTCCATAGTACACTTTCCATTTTGAGAGTCATCTTCTTTAACCCTATAATGTTTATTATTTTGAATATGTTCTTGTACCTTAATGTATGTCATTATACACACATACACACCACCCTCCCTTAGGAGGATCTTCTCTTAGGAGAATCTTCCTTGCGCATTATAGAGAGAAAACTTGTTTATTTTAATAGTTGCATAATATTCCATATTGTAGATTTATATTGTTTTATTTAACAATCTCACTATTGAAAATATTAGCTTATTTGTAACATTTTGCTATTACAAATATTGCTCAAATTTAAAATATGTTTATATGTATATATTTTGCATGTATATATGTGAATATTTCTGCAGGCTATGCTCCTAGAATTGGAATTGCTGCATCAAAGGTGTGCAGATTTTTATTTTTAAAGATATATTCCCAAATAATCACCCAATCAACTTATATTTCCACCAAGACTATGGGGAAATATCCATTTGCCCACATGCTCAGCAATACTAGAAAGTATGTTGTCCATCTAGTGGGCAAAAAGTGATGTCTCATGCTTTAAAGTTGATTTCTCTAATTGCTAGAGAGGCTGTATGTCTCTCATCATATTTGTTAGTGGTTTTCACCTGTTCTACTGTGTGTGGTTCATTTATCTCTCTTATATTTAGATAATTTTTGCCCAATTAAAGAACTGACATATATTACTATTTTGTTTGTTGCACATATATATTGAAAACTCTGTTGGGTATATTTTTATCTTTTTCTTAAAATGGATTTTCAGAATATTTGGGTTGATTTTCTTGAGCCTCACTTAACTGTAAACAGAAAACATTCCCTAAGTCCAGGCTACAGGGACTCAATATGCTAAGTGGTCATGGGTGTGATCCTCAAGGTCAGGCCCACCTGGATGAGAGCCCAGGTGGTGTCACATACTTGCTTATAACTACAGGAAAGTGCTTACCATCTCTGTGCCTCTGTTTCCTTTCTAAAAAAAATGAGGTAATAAAAATACTAAACTCATAAAATTGTTAGGAGGTTTAGACAAGATAATAATGCATGTATCTTAGCACAATGCCTGACACTTAATAAGCATTCAATAAATACTAGATATTAAAATTATTACTTATATCGTGGGCAATAGAGATACAGAATTAGACATTTAAGTTTTATTCCAGATTCTAGAACCTTTCCCAATGAGAGTTACTGGTAATAAGATCAAAGAAGGCTAGCAAAACTCCTTTTTCTTAGAGTGGGCATTTCACCTTATGTTTCAGCTAGCCTTGTGCAATTCTTATTTCCTGGAGCACTGAAATATTCAACTCAGTTACTAATCCAGCACTTACTCTTGAGTTCCTACTATGTTTGAAGCCAAAGATATTCAATTATCTTTGAGTCCATTTCATTTTTCCTGCATGGAAATTTTTCTTTATTCCTTTGAAAAAGTGATAATCCAAATTCCAATGAAATATCAGGAAATCAACAGAGAGACAGAAAATTAGAAAATAAGAAAGAGGGGCCGGCCCCGTGGCCGAGTGGTTAAGTTCGCGGGCTCCACTTCAGTGTCCCAGGGTTTCGCTAGTTCAGATCCTAGGCCCGGGCATGGCACCGCTCGTCAGGCCACGTTGAGGCTGCGTCCCACATGCCACAACTAGAAGGACCCACAGCTAACATACCCAACTATGTGCTGGGGGGATTTGGGGAGAAAAAGCAGAAAAGGAAAAAAAAAAAAGATTGGCAACAGTTGTCAGCTCAGGTGCCAATCTTTAAAAAGAAAGAAAGAAAGAAAGAACTTTAAAGATTGTCTAGGTCAACTTTTCATTTTATAAATGAGGAAACTGAAGGCCAGAGGAGGTAAGCAACTTTTCCAAGGTTACACAGTGAGTTAGTGGGGCGATCAAGATAAGAACCCAGACATGCCAACTCTGAGCCAGCACTCTGTTGACTAAATCATACTATGCTCAAGGATCTACATCTTCTTTTGGCCTGACATGACTTCAAAAATTAAAAATAGAGAAACATAGGTTAAAAACCATATCAAAACGAGCCAATGCTATTTAAAGTTTGTCGAGAAAGCAGGGAGTCTAAGACACTTCCCTTCCCTGCAGGTTAGGAAAGCATAGTTGTGTTTTTGCCCAGTGGGAGGGCATTCCAACTCTTCTTTCATTTTTGTCTCCTCTCAACAATCCATATTTAACACTGATACTCTATACTCACAGCAAACAGTGAACGACAATGCTACAGGTCGGTGGTTGGCAATCCATGGTCCACATGCCAAAGGTGCTGCAGGTGCCAATTTCAGGAGGCAAGTGGACCAGCTGCCATGCAGAGATCCTTATCCCCATCCTTATCATTTCCAGTAGTTACTGCCCATAATTGTCTCCACCCTCTTGCCAGAGTTTTCAAGGGCAACACCCTGACATTCCATCCCATTTGTCATCAGCACCATCCTGGCTTTCCAGAATCACAGGCTCAGCAATTTGGCACCCTCCTTTGAGAAGCCAATGACCACTGCTCCCTATGGTAATGAATAAACATTCCCAGCATTTTTTATATTAAGTGCTATATTTCTACCCTAATTTGTTTCCTTTCTTTCTGTGATCATAGAGCGATAGCATATTCTTGCCTGTTAATATCCATCACATAAGAATATACTGAAAGCAAGAATTGGATAAATCTTATGGGCAATAAGATATCTCACTTAAAGGGATGAAGGGTAACACATCACCAGGCTCATGAATTTTGGGTAGAAATTTGGACACAATGACTATTCATTTGTTCATTCAATCAAAGTTTATTGAGTGAACACTGTGAAGAGTCCTGATGCCAGCCGTTCAGGTTGTGAGTATCAGTAGATCCTCTCTGAAGAGTGGTTCAGAGTTAATTTAAAGCCAGGCTACCTGGTCCTAAATTATGTTTCTACCAGTGAATAATTTTGTGGCCTTGGGTAAATTGATTAACTTCTCTAAATTTCATTTTCCTCATCATTATGTAAGGATAGTAATAATACCCACTCTATAGATTCAAAATGAAGATTATATTAAAATATTTTATATAGTGTCTACCACATAGTAAGTGCTCAATAATTATCAACTACAATTAAATTTCTGCTATACTATAATCTACAATTAGGGGGATTTAAAGAAGGTTAGAAATCAGAAGATAGCTCAAAACTGAAAATTTGGAAATGAGGCAAACCCATAATTAAAGTGCCCTTTATTTATTTACCAAGTGTTTTGTGAGTGCTCACTACTTGTTAGGAATTTAAGGTGTTGGGAATGAAGAGATGAACCCATTCTTGTGCTTCCACTTATGGAGAGATGAAACATATTTGAGAAATGTAGCTTAGATCCCAAGTGTCAGATTATAAAATGTTGGAGATCAAAACAAGATGTGAATTCCTTTGCCCTAGGGAAAGTCCCCCCATGTTTTCTTAGTGGATGGGCTAGGAACAGGTCCAAAGGGAGAGAGGTTCCCCTTGGGGCCTTTGCCAGCTGCCTCACAAAGGGGTCACTGAGTCTGGGCTGCAGCTCGGACTCCTGGTAAGCCTGTTCCCTCCAAGGCTGAGTGGCCTCCTGAGCTGCTAGAGGGAGCACACAGAAGCCATGAGGGTAAAGGTTTGGTGACCTGTCAGCCCCAATGATCTTCCTGACTAATAGATGGCCTTGGTACCAGACTCAAAGTTTAGGAACTCTGACAGTGTTAACATAATTTCTGACCTAATTTTAACAGTAATAGTAATATCTTAGTTTGCTTGGCACTTGAAGTCTTCAAAATGTGTCCATTTGTATCTCTCTTGTTTGAGCCATCCTGAGGGGCAGCCTAAGCCCCTCTCATTATGCAAAATGTATGGATGAGGGACTGAGGCTCAGGCAGGGTAAGGGACTTCCCTGGAAAGAGGACAGCTAGCAAATGGTCACCCTGGAATGAGAACCCATGTCACTAGCTACAAATCGCATGCGGTTAAGTCCTGGGCAGCATCTTGGGCTTCCTAGATGCCTAGGTCATCCCTAGGAGAGCACTGCACACAGAGTCAGGGGTCCACACAGGCGCCTCCCTGGACATGATTTCTGTACCTCATGCTCTCCTGCTGCTCTGCCCTGTACCACGGAGCTTCTCTCCCTTGAGACCAACCCCCAGAATTACAGCTCTTCACCCTTTTTTTCTGCATGCCACCAAATGTTGCCATGCAGCATGCAACATCTGTCATAAAACTAAACATCGTTTAAAGACTGTGTTAGGAAATATTGTAATTACAGATTATATCCAGTTTGGATAAACTACAAGAACTTTTCTAATGCTCTTCAATTGATGAACCATCAATTGCCAACTTCTTTCTTCAATTGGTTTCTGTTCCACTGTCCTGCCAGTGGAGAGGCTCCTCCTCCATCACTGAGCCTTGATGTCGCAGACCTTTCTTGCCCCCTCAGCCTCCTTTCCACACCAGTATAAAGCCAAGCTGCATTCTTAGCAAATGTGAGTACTTTTTCTATCTGGAGCCCAATGCCTATCTTTGGCTAGAGGTGAAAGTCTCTTACTCTCTCCTCCTCCTCTTTCTTCTCCATCTTCTTCTGGAACATCATAATCTCTTTGATTTTTCTATAGTGGTTATGATCCTGGGTTTGGCAATCCGATTGCTTATATTTGATCCTAGACTAGGCAACTATTAGCTATGAGGCTTTGGTTAGGTTACTTTATCTCTTTGTGCCTCTGTTTTCTCACCTAAAAAGTAGTTAATGACAGTCTCTATCTCATGGGGTTATTATAGGGATTGGAAAAAGTAACTCTTGTAAGGTGCTTAGAACAGTGTCTCACCATAGTTAGCACTCGATAAATATGTGTGGGTACATGTACATGTGTGCACACGAACATGGTGTGTGTGAAACCAGAGATGCTTAGTTCTGAATCTTCCCACCATGCTCAGTTCCAAACTAAACCTCTGATCTCAATAAAAACAGCCTCCATTCCCACCCTCTCTGTGCTCAGTGCTCCTCTAAAGCTCTAAACCTCCCTTGTGACTGTGCCCATAGGACTCACTGACCAGGACAAGAAACCTTCTGTAAGTAATCTCTGTCTCTCCTGCCTCGTCATGGCACATATTAGACTAAGAAGAAACCCACGTTCACCTAACATACCTGTGTCGGGACAGGTTAGTCTTATTCCTAACTGGATAACATTGATAATGATACACTGCATTGTTGTGTTAAGTAGAGAAGCCTTGGGAGTCAGATGGTTGGGGTATGAATCTAGTGTTTTTCATTTGTTAGTGTTTGCATCTATAAAATAGGATGATAATGGGAAATGGATTTGTTATGATGAAAAAATGAGATGGTTTCTGTAAAGTATCAATGTGCAGTGGATGACACAGAATAAGTACTTAACAGTAATGTTACCTAGTATTGTTATTAAAACTCCTTTTTTATTCCATTCTGTTGACTCTGCTTGGGTTTCCCCATCCGTACCCTGCAGTTGAGAGTTGGGTTGTAGCACTTGCTAACTCCCACTAAGTGAGGAGTGTTTATTCAGAGAGAATCACAGATACTCTTCTTGAGAAGGGGAGAAGACTTTAGAAACAAGTGGCCATCAAAAGCCCAGAGCAGATTGGAAAGTGGATTTTGTTGGATAATTCCCCGGGAGACCAGTTGAACATGTGTGGACTCACTTTCTTCCCACAGAAATTGTAAGACAGATGACAGGATTTAATCAGTAATATCAATTTTACCCAAAGCTTAAGGGGGCATTTAGGTAAATTTACTGTTTGTAAGAGTAAGTACAATTGAGGGGAAACATCCAAATGTGGGGTGAAAACGGACAAAGGTATCGATGGGTTCTGGGTCTCTGCTTGTGGCTGCACTACTTAAAAAAATTGTCAGCAATGTGGCTACATCTGGTAACACCTGCTGTTCTGCTGTTACTGAGCAGCCCTGATGAAGTCAGAGATTCAGTGGCTCTTTTAACCTTCTGGGACCCATGGCAGTGGATGAAATGACTTTTTTCCTAGATATTCTCAGCTCACGAAGCAGTTAAATGAAAAGAATAAATATTTGATAGAATTAAATATAATGAATACAGCAAAACCTAAATACTTTCTGGGAAGGAAAAGGGAGTGCTTTACAGTCTCTTGGATCATTCAGTCTCAGATATAAAGAGAGTAACGAGCTTAGGTGTATTCAGTACCCAACGCTCTAGTGGGCTACCGAGGCTGGTGATTCAAATGTCACTCCAATTGGAAATGACTTTCCTTGCACACTGCTCTCCTCAGGGCACCCTTGACCTCTGAGTTCCTCAGGCTGTAGATCAGCGGGTTCAGCATAGGGTTGAAAAGACTGTAAAACAGAAAAAGGATCTTCTGCTGCTCCTCAGGATAGCGGGATTTGGGGGCCATGTACATGATGATGGCGCTGCCGAAGAAGAGTCCAACCACACAGAGGTGGGAGGAGCAGGTGGAGAAGGCCTTTCTGCGGCCCTCCCCTGACTGGATCCCGAGGATGGCAAACAGGATGCGCATGTAGGACACCAGCACCAAGCAGAGGGGCTTCACCAAAACTAACACAGAAGCAACAAAGATGACAACTTTGTTGAGCCTAGTGTCAGCACAGGCCAGCTTGAGGACAGACAGGATTTCACAGAAGAAGTGGTTGATTTCATGAGGCCCACAGAAGGGCAGCCTCAGGATGAGGCTCACATGGACCACAGCCAGGAGGGAGCTATATGCCCAGGAAGTCACCACGAGGGTAATGCAGACTTTCCAGCTCATGATGATGGAATATTGGAGGGGGTGGCAGATGGCCACATACCGATCATAGCCATCACCACCAGGAGAAGACATTCAGTGACAGTAAATATCAAAAAGAGAAAGGTCTGTGTTATGCAGCCAGCAAAAGAGATGGGTTTGGCTGGATTCAGGAGGTTCACCAGCATCTGGGGCACAGTGTTGCAAGCATAGGCTATGTCAACAACGGCCAGGTGTGAGAGGAAAAAGTACATGGGGGTGTGCAGTCTGGAGTCCAGTGAGATGAGCCCCAGGATGACCCCGTTACCCAGCAGGGTTAAGGTGTAGAACAGGGAGAAGAGCCCAAAGAGAAGCATCTGAATCCTTGGACCAAGACGAAATCCCAGTAGGATGAACTCCATAACCATTGTCTGATTTTCCCCCATTTCACTATGAAAAAGATAAAAGGGATATTTTAGGACAAAATTGTTGAAAACATCCAGATATTATTTTAAATTTAGTCATTTTTAAAAGATAAACTTTTTAAATTAATGATCTAGTTACGTATCAATCACCTAATCTGACACCCAATTTTACAGAAGGGAATTGTGTCACCAACAGTAGATTACCTAGAGCCATTGACACTTGTGATGAGAAGAAAGAATGTGAAACCAAAAGAGGAAATAATCATGAAATAGAGATCATCCTGGAACTGTACGTGTCAAAATTACTGAAAGAATTTCTGGAGTGTGGAAGCAAGCAGTAAGGGAGACCTCCAAATATGAGAATCAGAGAAGTCCTAGAAAAGTGATGTAATTCCAGTTTCTCAATAAAAATATCAACTGTGCTGCTTTCAGCAACTGAAATCAACCTTTGCTCTCTAGAGCAGCGTCTGTGACAACAGGAGGAGCAAAAAGATAAAAAGCAATTTTATGACAACGCAATTGTTTAGAATGATGAGAAAGAATCAATGGATGGGCTGCACATGGGCTCTAATGACTATCTTCACTTTACAGCGGATGTTGAATACAAACTGACAATTGGCCATTTTGCAATTAATCTATTGATTCATTCACAGTTACTGATTTACAAAATAATTCCTTTGAATAACAACCCAAACAATTTGTAGAAATTGGATTTTTTGGGGCTGCCCAGTTTCATGTATTGTGAGTCTAGAATTTGTGAGCAGGATTGTAAATGAGTACGAGGCCAGGCATTCACAAGTTGACTTGAAGCCTTGGTGTGTGTGAATGTGTGACAACATTTCAAGATGTAGTTCCCCCCTCACTGTTTGTAGTTCATCCCATATCTACTCATATTAAAAGAGCAAATCCAGGACTGGCCCCAGGGTGTAGAGGTTAAGTTTGGTGCACTCCACTTTGGCAGGCTGGGTTTGCCGGTTTGGGTCCCAGACGTGGACCTACTCCACTTGTCAGCCATGCTGTGGCAGTAAGCCACATATAAAAGTGGAGGAAGATTGGCACAGATGTTAGCTCAGGACTAATCTTCCTCAGCAAAAAAAGGAGCAAATCTAGGTACTAATAAAGTAGGAAAGGCCATCCCTGAATGGTAGCGTGTTGGAAGACCCACTAATGGTGTGATGGCTTAGCATTTGTACTATGTACCATGTGTGAAATTCAAAAACATAGGAAATGACGCTCATAAAAAAATTAACTCCACCTTACTTTAGCAACACAAGAATTGCTAAATTCTTTACAGATAGCTAATTGAAAAAATTTTGGAAAAGAGATAATTGAACAAATTTGTCATTTTACAGATTGCTGTACTAATAAATTGGCAGTCAGGTATTTGATACTTCTGTGAATTGGCGAGGTGGCAAATAATACTTGGTTTGTCCTTAAGTCCTAGATAATAGTTTCCTCAACACACCATGCATAAATCCAGCATCTTGGCTGGCAGAAATATTTTGTTAGTGCTTTTGCTAAGCAAAAATAACCTGAGGCTGAGCTATTGAACTTGTGTCTGCTTGCCTCTGAAGAAAAAGTTTCTCCAGGATTAATGTTAGGGAAGGCCTTGCTGTTGATAAGACCCTGGTCCAGCTGCCATTAATACCAATGGAGACATCAATAAGATGCTCCCTGAGGAACTTGGAAATAAGAGAAATAACACTGCTTTTTGAGAAGTAAAACTTGTAAAACCCACTCATAATGGATGAGAAGAACTGGAGCAAGAAAACAAGAGAAGCTGAATGAACATGTCATTGGGGAGCTCTGAGGGCATCCAAAGCTCCACTCAAGGTCTTTGATGCAATCTCACAAGAGCAACGGAGGAGGATCTGTGATTTAGGGAACCCAAACGAAACAGTTGTGTGGGTACCTGTCTAGAGGAAGGTGAGGAAGAAAGAAGGGGGTGGTCCATGAGGGCCAGTGTTTGCCAGCACATCAGCACCGTCCCAGGGAGTCTGGCCCAACAGCATGAAAGTGCTGTCCTGCAGGCAGGTCTGTGTCTACAGTTCAGATGGCTTGAGTGATCACTGATCAAGAACCTTGGCTGGAAGGATCTCCACTTAACCCCCTCTGCTCCGATCCTATGCTCACCAATCAACCACGAGATACTAATTTGCCTTCTTATGTAGATATTTTAACAAAGAGGACATGTGCTCATAAGCCAGTTTCTTCCCCGTTTTTTATAACAATAATTCCATTCAGGTTTATTCATGGTTCTTTTTTGAGTTTGGATAGTATGATACAGCTCGGAAATGTGTACACTGAACAAAACTTCCAAAGCTGGATCTACAGAGTGAGGGCTAGTCCCCGGGCAGAGATAACCTCATTGAAATACAACCCAAGGAAAGCTTTTCTGAGCAGCTAATTGGGATCCTGAAGGACATGCCCTTCTAGATATCTAGATCCCTCTCTAGAAGCAACAAATGATCGTTTTTTAAAATAACCATTCTCAATCAATTATTATATCGCCAAGACACAAAAGAATCTAACTACTATACTATGAATACCTAACATATGATCACGGCTTGTTTTTTTTCAAGATTCTGTAAAAAATTATTGTGCTAGGACAGCCTTCTAAATTGATTTGGAACCCACACAAAGCATATGAAAATATTCAGGTGTGAAAATGCAATTGATCTACATCTTATAATCTCTTTATTCAATCCTCCTTTGTTTCCCTTTGTAACTTCCAATTTGATTACACAAAGGAAAAAGAAACATTGCTTACAAAGAATGATCTCTGAAATCTAAAGGGAGAGATGAGAGAAAGGAGGGCCTAATGAGTACATTAAGATACTATAAGAACAGTTGCCATATGGGCTGAGAGTCTGATTTCTTTTACAGGACTGGATTGTAACACACTCCTTGTGAACACAGAACATTTTTGTAATTCTAGCACTTAGCAAACGTTTATGGAGTGAACAAATGAATGAATGAATACACATGAATGAATGAATGCCTAATATTAAATTTTTGGACCATCCTTGGACTAAATCTGGAATTTCTGGCTTGCTTAAATCTCTCCTACCATAATCATACCCAATTAAGCACATTCTTCCCAAGCCAAAAAAGAACTGACTGTCTGAAGTTTGATAAGCATAACTGTAGAATCTCCAAAGTGTTTGAGCATTGAACACTTGAAAGAGACTTCTATATTCTTTCTTTTTTCCCCATATTTTATTTTATTCTAAATGATATTCAAAGCTTCTCACCTGGACTCAAATGGATTAAATTTTCCAAAGGATTGGCAGAAGTGATAGGAGAGACTAAAAAAGAAATTAAACAATCCCACTTCCAAATGTAACATCCAGGCCTTGATTTATGCTTTAAATTATCTTATATGTATGTACAATTTAGCAATTTAAAAATTGGCAAATTGTTTGATGACTAATAGATTATCCAGTTTCTCCATGGTTTCGAAGTAAATATCTAAGATTGAAATAATTTCTTTACACATGCACAAACCTGTCAGTACTGGATGGAGCCGATGTTTCAAGAAGTAAAATTTAAGATCTGATGAGCTGACAAACTCCTTTCAAATGTTGTGAGCGTGAGTCATGCAGCATTCCTAAAATGAAAGCTATTTTTAAATCCTCAGTTCCACTGAAATATTGGATAGTTTACTTCCAAGTAATGAGAAATACGTGTTACAGCTAATGAATTCAATAGAACCCTCCTCCATTTCTCTTTCAGTTCAAACTACAGCCATACTTGTTTTACTGTGCTTTGCTTTATTGTGCTTCACAGATATTGCATTTTTTCCAAACTGAAGGTTTGTGGCAACCCCGCCTCAAGCAAGTCTATTGGCACCATTTTTCCACTAGCATTTGCTCACTTCATGTCTCTGAGTCACATTTTGGAAATTCTCACAATATTTCAAACTTTTTCTTTATTGTTATACTTTTTATGATGATCTGTGATTGGTGATCTTTGATGTTACTATTGTTATTGTTTTGGGTGCCATGAACTGTGCCCACTTAAGAAGGCAAACCCTACAATGGCCTCTAAGTTTTCAAGTAAAAGGAAGTGTCACTCGTCTCTCACTTTAAATCAAAAGCTAGAAATGATTAAGGTTAGTGATGAGATACAAGACAGGCTGAAAGCTAGGCCTCTTGTACCAGTTAGCCAAATTATGACTGCAAAGGAAAAGTTCCTGAAGGAAATTGCTCCAATAACACACGAATGATAAGAAAGCAAAACAGCCTTATTGCTGATATGGAGAAAGTTGTAGTGGTCTGGTTAGAAGATCTAACCAGCCACAACATTCCCTTAAGCCAAAGCCTAATCCATAGCAAGACCCTAACTCTCTTCAGTTCTATGAAGACTCAGAGAGGTGAGGAAGCTGCAGAAGAAAAGCTTAAAGCTGGCAGAGGTTGATTCATGAGGTTTGAGGAAAGAAGCCGTCTCCATAACATAAAAGTGCAAGGTGAAGCAACAAGTGCTGATATAGAAGCTGCAGCAAGTTATCCAGAAGATCCAGCTAAAATAATTAATGAAGGTGGATAGGCTAAACAACAGATTTTCAATGTAGATGAAACAGGCTTCTATTGGAAGTAGATGCCGTCTAGGACTTTCATAGCTAGAGAGGAGAAGTCAGTGCCTGGTTTCAAAGCTTCAAAGGACAGGCTGACTCTGTAGTTAGGGGCTAATGAAGCTGTTGACTTTAAGTTGAAGCCAATGCTCATTTATCATTCCAAAAATCCTAGAGCCTTTAAGAATTATGCTAAATCTACTCTGCCTGAGCTCCATAAATGGAACAACAAAACCTGGACGACAGCACATCTGTTTACAGTATGGTTTACTGAGTATTTTAACCCACTGTTGAGAACTACTGCTCAGAAAACAAGATTCATTTCAAAGTATGACTGCTCACTGACAATGCACCTGGTTACCCAAGAGCTCTGATGGAGATGTGCAACAGGATTAATGTTGTTTTCATGCTTGCCACACAACATCCATTCTGCAGCCCATGGATCAAGGAGTAATTTTGATTTTCAAGTCTTATTATATAGGAAAGACATTTTGTAAGGCTATGGCTGTCATACATAGTGATTCCTCTGATAGATCTAGGTAAAGTAAATGGAAAACCTTCTGGAAAGGATTCACCATTCTAGATGCCATTAGGAACATTCATGATTCATGTGAAGAAGTCAAAATATCAATTAACCAGATAAAGTAACATTAAACAGAGTTTGGAAGAAGTTGATTCTAACCATTAGGGATGACTTTGAGGGGTTCAAGACTTCAGTGGAGGAAGTAACTGCAGATGTGATGGAAATAGCAAGAGAACTAGAATTACAAGTGGAGCCTGAAGGTGTGACTGAATTGCTGTAACTTCATGGTAAAACTTTAACAGAGGAGAAGTTGCTTTTAATAGATGAGCAAAGAAAATGGTTTCTTGACATGGATCTACTGGTGAAGATGCTGTGAAGACTGTAAAAATGACAACAAAGAGTTTAGAATATTACGTAAATTTAGTTGATAAAGCAGCAGCAAGGTTTGAGAAGGTAGACTTCAATTTTGAAATAAGTTCCATTGTGGTTAAAATGCTATCAAACAGCACAGAATGCTACAGAGAAATTGTCCATGAATGGAAGAGTCAATCAATGTTGCAAACTTCATTGTTTTCTTATTTTAAGAGATTGCCACTGGCACTCCAGCAACCGCTTTCAGCAACCACCATCCTGATCAGTCAGCAGCCACTGACACTGAGGCGAGACTCTCCATGAGCAAAAAGATTATGACTTACTGAAGGCTCAAATGATGGTTAGCAATTTTTAACAATAAAGTATTTCTTAATCAAGGTATTCATATTTTTTTAAAGATATAATGCTATTGGACACTTAACAGACTACAGTATAGTGTAAACATAACTT